TATATANNNATATNTNNNTATANNNATATATATATATATATATATATATATATATATATATATATATACCATTTCTTCCATAAAGATGTGGAATACTATGTTCCGAGAGTACCAATTCCAACACCCTATCAATATTTTCTTTCATGGGACTTGGAACATGAAGAGAAAAGATGTTTGGTGAGGGAGGAGAGAGAGCAATATGTTCGACATGCAGTTCTACATTGAGAATGTTTCAACGGTATGATGAAATGCCGAAGAGGATATGGAAAAAACTGCCTGTGTAAATAATTCGATACAAATAGTACTTTCGCAAACTTCTATTGGAAACGAGGGGCTGAGAAATATTCCCTTAAGAGCGAATGTCCCTACTCCCTCATCAAAAGGGATGCAGAAAAGTTCAAATACTGTTTGCGAAAACATTGGATGTACCAACATGAGACATGGCTGAACATTGAACATTTGCTAAGGAGTTTAATTCTGCGATATGAACTAAGACATATAATTTATATTTAACCCAACATATAATAATGCAATTTATAGTGAAGTAGGATGGACACCCTTCCAACCAGATACCCAGTGCACACACATTCAAGATGAAGACACTACTAATGAGACAAAGGTCATTAATGTAACTGCAAAGAATAAACTATGCACAATGGATAAAATGCATGCATCTGATGATGAAACCAAATTGTATCATTGCAGAGCAGATATAAGTCTACAAAGAAATATTGGAGATATTTTGTAAGGAACGGCGTATACATATGAAAAAATAAACAACAGACAATCAAGAGGTACGCAATATGACAACTGATCCAGACACTGCTAGCTAACGGGCTTGTCTGGACCTTAGAAGGGATGGAATAACTGAAACAGTACATGCAAATCATTGATACACGTCATTTGGCTCAAAATCACACAATATTCATTAAAGGTCAGAGCAAATTACTTACTTCGATGCCAGGAATAACTAAAAATATCGAGTGATAAAGATGCAGAAACATCTTTGCACTTGATTTGACTAAGATGTGCCAGGCCGAGGTTGAAAATTCATTTTAAAAATATGATATATGTACACAAAAATTAATAGGTAATCTATCTTATGCAACAAATGAAATAGTTCAGTGCTATCAAGGTGACCGCAGTCTTTGACCTAAGCAGTCTAATGTGTGCTGGATAGCTGGTACAGGCTGGATAAATAAAAGTACATTCTTACCAAGTGATTTCAAACTGAAAATATCCAGTGAGAGAGTGAGGATGGTACATTACGCTTGTGTGTTGAGTATCAGCTGATAAAACATGCTAATAGCAAGTGAATTGGAATCAACTGTAACCCATATTTCCATCTTTAGTAAGGTCATTAAAGTGAATGTAGTTTTCGAAATCATTATGTAGAGATCTTGCTAATCTGAATGGGTTTAGCTGGCTTTTGGTGTTTTACAACATCGAAGTTATGAAGCTTATTCAATGTCACTTTAATTGGAATCATAACGCCTTGATATGGTTGCACCACGGTAAGCGCCACGTGCTGACCCTTGAGTAGGATTTGAACCCCGTTCCCTTTCAGTCGTTAGTCGTTCACTCTTATCTGAAAGTCAACACGATGATTGAGTGAGAGGAACTATCATATAACGTCTTAACAATGACATCTACTTAAATTGGGTTACATCATCCTAATTGTTAACGGCTCAGAGATAGAACAAGTAAAATATGTCAAACAAGCTGAGAATATCATAACATTAAAAAGGACAATTCCCAACTATGTATTGAATAAATTATTTCCTTTCTTGTCAGGGATTACGTCTCCATAGTCGGTATTTTACCATAAAATATACAGCTGAATAAATAATGAGTCAAACTGATTGTTAAGAAACTGTTTTCAGTGAACTTCTGTAAATGTATATTTTTACTCTGCAATATTATCAAAAACATACCATGGGAATGTAAATCCATTATAGAAAAGGTAAAAATCGATATAATTCTAAAGGAGCTCATTTACAACTTTGAGGTCAATCCTGCGCTTCATGCCTCGAATGTAGTCTGGTAACATCAGCTTGACTATGTATTAAATAAGGATTGATAGAGAAGTGGCGAATGCGTTTAAACGATTTTTTTTATTCGCACCTTTTCTGTCAAATATACTGTGAATCAAGTGGGTAACTTCCTTGACTGCATTGTCTAGGAAACTGCTATAGTATTGAAATCATGTACCATTGTTGACGTTTGTTGGTCTATTTTTGAAAGAATACCAATTTTAGATATGGTACTTTCCTAAGCATGTCATCCATTTTGATTGAGATACAACATCCATGCAAATCTGATTTACAAATTTTAAGTCGTATTCAGATGAAATCAAAATTCATTGTTATTTTGTAGTTGGTCTGCGATTTAGAACTATAACTCAACTCAAGATAGCCTATATGTATGTATGTATGTATGTATGTATGTATGTATGAATGTATGTATGTACGTATGTATGTATGTATGTATGTATGTATGTATGTATGTATGTATGTATGTATGTATGTATGTATGTATGTATGTATGTATGTATGTATGTGGCCACTATAGCTGGTCGAAAAAGAACGCGGGAAAACCCTGGGAAGAAAGACCCAACCATTGAAAACTGTCGGTAGCTTTCTCATATACCCATGTTGGCCATTCCGGAGATTCAAACCCATAGAAGTGAGATGGCAGTGATCGGTAAAGGAGAACGCTTTAGATCACTTGGTCATCCGTGTCCGCAAAGATCAAAGGTAATTCAATGTTAAAAGTATTGTCGTACTATAATACAAATTTGGTTTGCTTTTTGGTATTTCACAGGACCATACCACAAGAATGCTTTAACAGCAGAGAAAATCGGAGCAAAGTGCCATGTCCAATGACAAACTTGGGCTGATCCCATTCATATAGTTTGATTCTACAGTCTATATGACTCTAGGTATATCGGTACCAATTGTACAACCCCTGGTGGGTGGAGCTTAAGATGTAGGAACAATGCATTCAGAAATAAATTACAAAACTATCTGTGATTGGAGCATTATGTAAGATTTGTACTTTCTGTTAGGCTTTAAAAAAAAGTTGAGCTTCTTTGCAACATGTGACATTATATTAATTCATAACTACATCACCTTTTGTATTTTTATGATTTTTTTTAAATGTGGTACACATGACTGAAAATGTGTCTGGTGTAACTGGATAACTCTTACCCCTGTCTAATTCCAGCAGAGTTATCTCTCTTAGATTCAAAGGAGTACCTGATTATTTCTTGTCAAATTGACAATCTAACATTGTTCTCTGTGAGAGTGGGTGAAATGCATGCTGAGGTAGGATATAAAGTATGTTTATTTCACAAAACAATAGCATTGAGGTCAATAAAAAAGAAAAAAACAGTTAGTACCGTGATACCTCTAGTCCGGCACGATAATCACAAAACCCCATCAGTAGTAAATGGGGGCGCAAATGGAAAACCCAGTCGAAAAGGTCATGGGGCTTCAACATTTATAGTGTCAGTAAAAAACATCTGGGGCTTTATATCGTCATAAATTTACTCTGGGGCAATATAACGTCAAGGGAAAGTTGAAAATAGGTTGAGTTTTGTATAGGGACAATATAAATGAAACAAGTATGGTGACGTCACAGTACTGGACATTGACAACAATGTTGCAAGGGGCTAACCTCAATCGGCCCAAACAGAAAACAGTGACAGTGGGAAAAATTATATCGTTATGTACCGCCCCGCCAAGAGGGTACGTTCTATCAATGGAAAGACATAGGCATATGTATATAACACAAACATAGATTCATAGACATACATCTGTCACACAATCACACATAAAATATAATTAACAACTAAAATATTTTAGGCAAGAGAAAATAGATATCTTTCGAGGCAATATAGCAGTCCTAAATTTATCACAAAATATTTATTGCAAAAAAATACAATGAAACATATATGACGTAAATATAATTTTAAAAATTACACACAATTTAATCACACACACACACACACACACATATATATATATATATATATATATATATACATATATACATATATATGAATATATATATATATGTATATGTATATATATACACACACACACACATATATATATATATATATATATATATATATATATATATATATATATATATATATATATATATGTGTGTGTGTGTGTGTGTGTGTATGTTCACCGAAATTGTATCAGATCTAATTGATCTCCCTGCTACTGGGATTGTAGATTTGGCCCAAAGTGTCCTTACTACGTGTCGTATGTGGCGACTAAGCAGTAAGAATCTGTTTGCCGTGGGTTGTGTCCCGTGTCCGTGGAGGAAAGGACCCTGATAGGTGAGCAGAGGATTTCCAATGCAATACACTACTTTGG